TATATATATATATATATATATATATATGATTGATGCAGCTTCGACGTGGTCGTGTGGTCCTCAGATGTGCACCGTTTGTGTGCGGCGGATTGTGGGCAGGGTATATCAATAAGGATAAGTTTTTTGTATGCCGTCTCGCGGACGTTTTCAAGTTTCGGTTATCGTCAACTTGGCTTAATCCATCAGTCGAATGGCTTGCAGTACTGCGCATAATTAAGCTGCGGTTTTAAGAAGACTGATTATAAATGTCCCAATGCAAACATTAGAAAATACTGATGAACAAGCAGCTGGATGCAACATTTTACCAGTCTTCTATCGTAGGCTTGTTTGCTGTGTCGACAGTAAATTTGCAACATTGTATATTAAAAACAAGACAAAAGCTGTGATAGGCGAAACCCACCCCGTTTGTCTTCCGGGACCAGGAGCACGGACCAAAAACGATTTACTGGGGTTACACGCTGCTCGACCATGGTCAATATACGTACGTGGTGACGCATCGCCCAGAGATTGAACCACGAGTGAAGATCCAGCAAGTAAGCGGAATCTGCACCAGATGGACAGAGAGGGCGTTCAATTTTAGGAAAGAGAAAAGATTGAAAATAAGAAATTCGACAAGTCAAGCTCTCCAGGACGCAACCGAAAGCACTAACAATATGATCACTACCAATGATGCATGGACGATTCCCTCGGCTCAAAGAGTTATTTTGAATAAACTTCCTTCCATGAAAACTCTCCTCACCACGATGAACTACGCTGATTACCGAAAGTGATAGGACTAATTTACTATCAAGTGATCATGTACCAAAGCAGACTTGTCGTTCTCATTGTGACCGTTTGCATACTGCAAAGCGAAAATAGGATTGATTTCTCATATTACTTGGTTTGGTTTCACTTTGATCCGTCTGCATATTTCCTTAGAGACGGTTCACTTAATCAATGATGCGAATTAGTTACATTTATTGTGCGTTTACGTAGGATCTCGGCTCATGGAGCGAAGCACTGCTAGATAATAAGGCTTGGAGTGTCAGGGGTCACTAAACATCACCCATACCAAATCCCTCGGAACTGAATGTGTCTTTCATAAGGCCGGTTCATTCTGCCTTAGGAGATAACCGAAGTACATGAAGTATCTGGAGTGAGGACAAAACGTTTGTGAACAGGTTAACCGTCACGACAAACATATAAAACAGAAGCATTTTGCCTGCGTGCCTTCTATCTGGAGAATACGAAAACATTAATCAGGAGCATAGGAGGACTATTAGGGAGCTGTGATGCAGTTAGGTAAGTGAATTGAAATTCAATGTAATCAGCGAACGAACCAACCGAGCATCGGCATCTCAACCATGGATCACAAACGACTGGGTGGAGAGAAACAGGTAAAAGATCCCAAAGTTTTCCTAAAAAATCAGCACCTCACTGAAGTGCAACTCTCAAAAGGTAGTGCAGGACACGGTAGTGATAAATGAATTGGCATCACATTCAAATAAAATGCACGTTGATACCATGAATATGTAGAACAACCAAATGTGGTTTCTATTCACCGTCAGCGCAGAAATGCTGAACAATCACTTTTAGTCCAGGAAACAGAACTTGTTTGTGTAAATGAAATGAAGACCGATCCAATGAATACTACAGTTTCTTTAGTCATGCCAAAGGATCATACATAGAGATCAATCGAATAATGAAAAAATAGATGCGAATTTCTTCCGGAAGGCCCGATAGTATTTTCCGTTTTACCAAGGAGTTAACAGAACGCATATAGGAAAATTAAGACTAGGAGGACATAGAAATCAGAGGCAACGTTTTGTCGAAAGAGCGACGAACTCAACTCTAGGTTTTTGAGAGGTGAATCGTAACAGGCAAGATGAAAACCAAGATGTCTGCTGCTATTATCGATTGACTGTGTCAAGATTTGAACCTCTGACATCATAAAGGAGACCGCTAGTGACAAACGTAACTCTGTTGGCGAAAACCGTAGTAGGGGAATGAATAACTCGAGAAGAGTCTTCAATTTCAAAGAGCCTACATCTAATTGCGTTAAGGCATACAACAAACTTCCATTATTACGTTGATTCCAGTGATCTTCAACCGGGCTGTTCTGTATCCTCATCTACTTCAAGTTTGTCATCGATGACGATCCACTAAACGAATTTTCTGGGTTAGCTTCAAGGGAAATAGAGTAACTAGTTCAATGGGACGGTTCTGTGAAAGAGCCGAAGCAATGGTGTAGTTAATGTAAATTATTCCATGGCTTGTTTGTTTTACCGCAACAATGCTTTCTGTGGCTACCTGAGAATAGAATTTAATTTAGCATATTCTATAAAGACCATTAAGCTGATTTAGCGGGCAATAATAGCCAGCAGATTTCGCAAATCGAGATGTAGTTTCGCGGGATGAACCTAAAAATATACTTGTCTACTTTATAAAGAACCAACTTTTGACAATGCAAACAGTGAGGAATATAGACGGTGAGAAGAAAGTGTGCATTGATGAAAACCACCGATTGGACTGAACCGGTTAAGCCGGATGAAAGAAACGAAAAAAATTAAACATGCAAGAACGAAATACACAACACTGCAGGTGCGACAAGTTGCCAAAAAATGGAGTGCGGAAAAAACTTCGAGTCAAAATAAACAGGAAAGTAATGAAAGGTCAGAATGAAACAAGTGGATGTTTCTATGTACCGTTAAACAATATTTGATACAAAAACGGACAACTTACTTCGTTCCAGTTGGATAGCTTCTGGTGTGAGAGTCCAACGCAATGGCCATCGATATAATGCAAATAACGATTGGTTTCCTCGATGCGGAGCACTCATAAAGATGACTCCTCGAGTGTTGTCTGCTAATGCGTTTTGCGGCACATTCGGAGCACGGCGTGCGACATCTAAATCAACGTTCAGTAAGTTTTCGCTCACTGTATCAAAGCGACGTCTAGAGGCAACTGGTGATGAAGTTGCAGCTGAAGCGGACATATCAGGGACATCTAAAAAGTCATAATGACAATGTTGAAGTGATTGTGTGTCTGCAGGAGCAACGAGTTCTGCAGGATCACAAAACCACTTAGGCTGTGTTGTGTGTTCCTTGCACTGTGAGTTTGGTTGATCGGCAGTGACCAGACTTGTGGGATTAAAGTTTTCAAATCGATCCAGTGAACTAGGAGTGGAACGTGCATCTAGAGAGGACTGGGAACCGATGCGGACGAGTTCCACATCGGACAAGTCCATCGCGCCACGCTTTGACAGGCGAAGAACTTCCTTCACGAGGATACCTAATGGTTAAAATACAATTTGAAGACATGATCATCACTGGTTCATTAACACAAAAATGTTATGCACATCTGTAATGATTCGTTAAAATTCCCTGAAAGGACATTAGTAATTACGCCGTTCTTGGTCGTCACCGCGTATTCTTATACTAGTAATCCTGATGCGATTTTCCCACCAGCATTCACAATAACGACTCAATGAGTTATTAAACTTTTCATGAAATAGCCCTTAATTAGACTTATGATGAGTAAATGAATGAGTCAGCACATTTCATTAGATCAGGTGATTCATAATGAGGAAAACACCACTGAGTTTTCAGCTGCGGTTCAGTTGCACTTTTGCCCGACGGAACTGTGTCCATTGGCAATAGGTGACCACAATTCACATGCCCGCCCACATAGCCGACTGAATCATTGGTGGTCGATTTGTGTCAACATTTCACCGCTTATGAAAAAAAAACAGGTAACAATTGTCGATCAGTGCAAAGTGGAATTGACGAAAGATGACAAAACACATTCTTCTTTAAACCTTTTGTCCCATTCATGGTCGACATCGTTTGAAGAAAAAGCCCACCACAAACAACCGATTCAGTTATGAGTTGTGATTAACTATTGCCAACTGACACAGTTTCGTCGGGCAAAAGTGCAACTGAAAATTCTACTCAGTAGTGTGTTTCCGTCTTGGTTGAATATCCTGATATATCTGAAAGAAAGGTTCGATAATTTTTTAAAACCGCGCAGGACCGATTCGCGGTGGGTTGGTAATGTCTCCGCTCCGCGCTCCTTTAAAAATACCTCATAATAACCTTGAGAAGCTGGTTTCCAGAAGCCAAATATTAGCGCTGACAGTAGTGTATTTCTTTATAAGCCGTGAATCCAGGAAGCAAACACTGATAACGTGAACAGAGGGTACTGACCTCCAGCGGAATGAGTAACCCAGATGATCGGCCGTTTTCCGACCCCGGCAGCTTCGAGTTGTGGTAACAATGACTTGGCACGTGTATCCAAAGTACGCCTGAAAGAAAGATAAAAGAATGTTCTATTATTCGGGTTTTTATAACCACGACTCTTAATCGAGACAGTTGTGATAGCAACATCTTCCAGACTCGTTTGGGGCAGGAATGTGAGATATTATCAGTATACGAATCAGTTGCTACAAGTGCTACACGCGTACATCACGTGTCACGCCTCAGTTCAATCTGAACACAGTTCCCATTTGCTTATGCAGAATTTCGCTAAAAGACGATATGACAGGGCTACACGATGTGAAAATCTCCAGTTAGCAACCCTCCCAGAGGTCACGGTAACCAACACGTTCAATCAATCTTCATGATCGTCGCCCACTAGCCGGAACTGAACGAAAGAAAAATGCAGCGAAAGAACAACAACATAGTTGCTGATAATGAGGACACAAATTGACAAACAAGCTCGTTTTCAGTGTCTTAATCATGCCATTAAAACACAATAAATACGACTAGTATAAGAAAGGGATTTACAAAGAAAGAGAGGGAAAGTAATTACCGTATTCAACAGTTTCTTTCATAATTGGTCCCCAAAAATCACTTGCTCCGATGTTGCACGACAAGTAACTTGTCGACAATGCGGCCATGGGAGCTTGAGTGCTTGCAAAAATTGTTTCATGAGCGCACAGACATGCGTTG